TTAGCTGTCAGTAGCTCTTTGTCTAAGGTTGAGGCCTCCTGAACCTTTCTTGCCACGGACTGGCCACCGGGGCTACCACGACCGTAGGAGAACCAGGGCTTGGGTAGTCAGGAAGGCAAGGACTTGGCGAATGACAGACAGACAACACACTCAAAAGTGGTTTGAATCTGCTGCGATTTTACTTCTGCAAATCAGTAGTTTATATACAGAAAAGAAAACTAGCAAGTCATACAGGGAACAACAAGAGCTTGGCAATAATTTAATTACATCATCTTTTTTAAAAAACAGCAAGCACACAATTATTAATTGTCGCTAGACATATCCCTTCACCCACAAGAACTTTATGACCCAAAGAGCAGCCTGTGTTTTTTAAACTTAGTACAGTCCCTAGACTTGTGTAGACTTCTTATGGTTGTAGCTGTGTCCCTTATCTTATCCCAGCAGTTTTCTAGTTTATAATACATTTCTACTTTTTTGGTTCCCATGGCCCATTTAGCCAATTTGGATGCTGCAGACCCTCTTGTCTTTCTTTAGTTCTTTTACCACATATCTCTTTTAATATAAAACCTTTTTACCTGTTGGAATATGGACTCTTGTACTTTTACGCCTGTAAAGGGAAGGGGTTCTGCTGTAGTCTTGAAGTTTCCCATGCTGAACTTCCTCAACAGAGGGGCCCATCATCTTCCTCCTATGAGATAATGTTTTCTACCATAAATCACTTAAGTTGGGATTCTTAAAGGATTCCTAGTGGGTGAGTGTTCATTCCCCAGAAGTGCCTGAACCTTTATACTTTCTTATCTAGCGGCTTGGGGTCTTTAAGAAATAGCTCATTTTGCTATATCTGATTAAGATCCATGTCCAGCTTCCCCTTTCCTCCATAGTTCACAACCCAAGCATTCATTAATTTTGGCTGTGCTTCATAGATTAATTAGAACTTATCAGAAAAGCAGTTATACAGAACCCATAGGCCAGGGAGCTCATGATCTGTAAAGTACATCTTCGAGAAGGAAGCATAATGCAGGCACTCTGCCAGGGACCTCCAGGGAGCTTAGTCCCATGGGACATGTATCTCCTGTTCGCTATTATTGAAATAATTGTTCATGTCACAAGGACAACACTGGAGTTGGTGTGGCACTTTCCCCCTCCACATTACTGTATCCATTGTTGTCAACTTTGTTCAACCCGTGTTTAGGCAGTCATGCTGGTGACAGTTTATGGATGTAGCTTCTGACGCTATTAGGAGCCACAATGTCACAGGAACTTCCTGTTCCTCTGGCTCTTACAATCTTTCTTTCCCTTTCTTCTGAATTGATTCCTGAGCTTTAGGTGCAGGAGTATTGTTGTAGATATTATCAGCTGGGACTGGGCTCCATAACTCTGGGTTTTCATTGGCTGTAGTTTTCTGTAATGATATCCATCTGTGCAAAGAAGTTTTCCTGATGAGAAGTGAGAACTATACTCATCTGTATAACCTAAATATTTAGAATGTACTTAGGTACTATGTTCCTTTAGTAAAATGATGATTGTAGGTTCTCGAGATCCAAGATTTCACTAGCTACCAGCAGTTGGCCAAGATTCCAATATCAGGCATGTTTTCCCTCTTGTTGAATGGGTGTTAGGTCTAATTAGAGAGCTGCTAGTTACTGCCCAGTTGTGCATGCCACTGCGACAGTGTTTGGGTTATTGTGTCATGCTGGACATTGTTGTAGCACATCTGGGTAGTAATACTAGTTGCTTACCTTCTCTGAGAACTTGCTTGTCCTTGTGATTATATACTTTATTCAGGTCATTCTTCTTAACTCTCAGAGCATAAATTGTCAGATGCTCTAAAAAAAAAGTTGGCTTCTGCATGAGACTTAGTCTGCCTCACTTTAAGGCCCCACTTCCCCAGTTCACAAAGTCAGCTAGAGTGGTATTCATGCCCCTACAAGCTGTTGGGTGAGAGGATGCGTGACATTTTAGATGACTGAACAAACATTGAACTCAGAAACTTGGTAGTCCAGTGAGTCTTGCGAGTGCCAGTGTATTGAGAATATCTTACCATTTGAGTTCATGGGGCTTCCTTATATTTTAACCCTGAGATGAAGACTGTTTCACTTCAGAGCCCTTTTACTGAAAGACAAAAGGAACACCCAGTGCCACAATACATATGCAGCAGTGTTGCTAGAGTTTTCCTGCCTTGCCCACAGTCAGGACAAATCTTTGTCACCCGCCAGTCCCACAGCTGCTCAGACCCAACCAAGTAAACACAGAGACTTATATTGCTTACAAACTGTATGGCCGTGGCAGGCTTCTTGCTAACTGTGCCTATAGCTTAAATTAGTCCATTTCCATAAACCTATACCTTGCCACGTGGCTGGTGGCTTACCGGCATCTTCACATGCTGCTGGTCATGGCGGCATCTGCAGTCCGTCCTTCTGCCTTCCTTGTCCTTTTATTTCTCCTCTCTGTTAGTCCCGCCTAT